ACCCGCGGGGCCGGATCCCCGGGGCACTCCCGTCGCGTAGGTGCCAAAGATTCCCTCCTAACAGAGTCGTGAGCAGGTTCCCACCGCCCCCTGCCACCACGAAACGTCCTGCTGAGCGCGGAGAACGAGGAGGGGAGAGAAGAAAGCCCCCCCCGAAGGTGGCCAAACCAAAAAGCAAACAGAATCCAAACGGCTCGTGTTTTAGTGGTTGACTTTAATTCTGCACTGCACTTTTACTACAAGGATATAAAGAATAAATAGCAGATACTCTTCATTTACATAGGATTAAGTCATTCAAACTGTTCTCTCTATTTACAATAACATTGTGCTCTAGGCGTTTATCCTTTTTTATTTTAAATCTAAAGTCCGTAAGGAAAAGAAAAAAACCCACACACACGCTTTCCGAATAATGGAAAATAGCTTTAAAACGTTTTCTTATCAAAAAGTTTGGTTTGTATTTTTTAATCCTTTTATTAAAAAAAAAACAAAAACAAAAACCAACAAAACCCCTACTTCGCCAAAGCGAAGCAACTTCTCTCTGGAATATAAATACCAAAAAAAAAAAAAAAGATACATTAGCAACGATCAGAGTAATAGTCTTAAAAATACAGTAGACGCTGATTATTTCACGTATAATACTGACCTTTTAATAGTATATTAAAACGGTGCCATATATACACACAATATACATTCTCCTACACGTTACAGTGCATTACAACGTTAACCAGAAAGCAAATGTCTTTTATTTTTGTTGCAGCAAAGGTCCACGTGAGTCCGCTGGAGAAGGGGCGAGAAAAGGTAAGTGCAAGCCCTAGCAGGAGCACTTGCACTCCGAAATGATGGGGTACTGGATGGGTATCCATGTGCACCTCTGCCCTCCCCGACGCTGGCACCTCCACCTCAGGATCGTTAAATGCACGGACTTGGCAGGTTTGCAAACCATGCCTTCTGGGACTGAACAAGACCTTTTACTGTAGCAGCTGCCCACTTTGACATACCGGGGCCAAAAGCGGCTGCCGAGATCGTTCCACGTGTATAGGACCGGGCAGAAGGTCTGGGACCAGAGCCACATCTGCAGCTTCCTGCGCAGCTTCTTGCTCAGCCTGTGCTTCTTGCCCGGCTGCAGCCCGTCGTAAAACTCCAGCCCTTTGATTTCGCTGGGCATCGCTCCCGAGGGTCTCTGCCTGAGCAGCAAGTCCAGCTCAGCTAGATCGTCCACTCCGAGCCGGTCCTCGGGCAAGGAAATAGCCATAAAGTTAGGGTCGAAGTGTCCGCCCATGAGGTTCCTTAGCAAGGTCTCGTTAAGATCCTTCTCCTTGGGGTCAAAGATAGGGTCCGGGTGCTCGATTAGATCCACCAAGGGCAGGTTGTCGCTGGGAGCCGGTCGGATGTGCAGATAGTGCTGGCAGGCGCCTTGCTCTAGCCGGAGACCCAGCAGAACCACCAAGGCGTATATAGTCACAAGGCACTGGGAATGATCCATCCTTGGGAGACCGGTGGGGGGGGGAGAGGGGGGCTGGGTTCACCAAACAGCAGGGGAAGAAGGTGCAAGCAAATACATCAGAAAACTTGTACGGGGATATCCAAAATAGCTTGTCTTTAAGGGGGATCACCTCCACTCCCCGCACCACCAGCAAAGACAGCCCCCTAATAAGCCCGGAGAACAAGCCCCCTGCAAACACTCTCTCTTGCAGGCTTCTCTATAAAATTTCTCCTGGTGGAGCCGCTCCAAAATTCTGCTGCTGCTGCTGCTTCTTTTCACCCTCCCCGGGAAAGGGAGATGCCTCTTTTTGTTGCAAATTCTGCTTGCTGCTGCTGCTCCTCGTTGTCTGCCCGTGCGTATGGAAGAAGTTGCTGCCGATTCTTCTTCCCGCTCCTCTCCGCCGTTTGCAAAGCAGCCTCCTCAGCAGCAACAGCAGCCACGCACGTTGGCACCAGTTTGTCTGCTTTGCAAGGACCCAAAGCCTTTAAATTTCCTGCACTTTCAGCTTCATCTCCATGGAAACCACAGACTCTCTCCTAACCCACCCCACCCCCCTTAAAAAAACCCACACACACAACAC